GTGGTCGAGGGTGGCATCCTCAGGGAAAGGACATGCTTGGATCTTGACCTGATCATTTCCCCCCTTCTCCTGCAGAGTAACAGTCTGGAACGGGCCGTGGACTGGATCTTCAGTCACATTGATGACCTAGACGCAGAGGCTGCCATGGACATCTCGGAGGGGCGCTCAGCGGCTGAGTCTATCTCTGAATCTATCCCTGTGGGTCCCAAAGTGCGCGATGGGCCTGGAAGTGAGTCCCAGTCCCTGGAGGGCATCAGTTCTGCCCTGTGCTGGGTTGTGTAGTGGTAGCTCCGTTCCTGGGGATGGGATGGGGGTGGTTTCTGACCTTAGCACTCCAGCCTTCCCCAGAGTTTTAACCTCTCTAACTTCTCAGGTCTCTCGCTGAGCCCAGAGGTTTTAGCACCTCCCAAAAGTGAATCTGGCTGCTGGGACTGTGTAAAAGGGAGGGAGGGAAAAGGGTTTGTGCCCACTGGGAATTATCAAATGGGATGTAGTTTCGAGTCAGATGCAGGGAGGAACAGGGGTGTCCTGCCATCGAGTTGAGGGTGGCTCTGCTCTCATCCCATCTCTGTCTTGCCTTTGGTCTCCTAGCCCAGTGGTTCCCAACCTTTTTTATACACAGACCAGCAAACCCATTTACAAACTTTTGGTGGACCAGTAACATTTATTTGCATATTCATTATGCAAATAATTATATATAAATATGTGAATACTTTATTGCCAGTTCATAACAGATCAGAGTTTGCAGATATCTACAACGCTAAAAAAAATTCACAGAAAGAATTCCCTTTTGGCAACTGGTGCCTGCAGAAGGAGGGGCGCAGGGTGGGGCACTCGCAGGGGCATTTGGGGCACCTTATTTAGCAACAGAAATTTTGTCAGGGGCATAGGAGCTGGTGCCTCCAAATGGTGCCACCAGTCCCCTCTGCCCTCCCCATGGGGTGGAAGAGCTGCCATTGTATCTTTCCCTGTCTTCTTCTGTACAACCCCTTCCCTCTGTGTCTCCCTTCCCCAGCCAGGCTACTCTTGCTCCCACGGTCTCCGTCTTTCTCCCTCCCTCCCCGCATCCCCCCCCTTTTTTGCTCCCTGTGACCTTCTGCAGAGTTTCCTTCCATTTTTCCCCACTCCCATCTGCCCCATAAGTCTCCCCTGAATCCACCCAACCTCCCTCCAGCACCTGTTGCATCCTCCTTCTGCCCCCACCTCACATATCTGCCCCTGCCCCTCCTCAGCCGCCTCCTGTCCCCCTCAGAACTGTCTCTTGCCCCCCCACCCAACCAGTTCTGAGAGAGTTTGCTCACTTTTCCTATGGAAATTAGAGCTCTGAGATTTTGCTCACTTATCCTCAAATTTCCTCTTACATTGTGAAGGGCTTTTCAGGTAGCACAGAAGAGCGCTTTCTCCCCCCTGCCGGGGCTTAGGGATCCAGCCCGGAGCCTGGCTCCAGAGTCCCTGCAAGCAGTGGCTGCCAGTTGCTCTTTGCTGGGTGGAGGGCAAACCCAGCAATTGCTTCCTCCTTGCCTGCTGCTACCACTGGATCCTAGCACAACACCAGCCACGCTGCAGCTCCTTCCCAGCCCCAGCTCCTAGAGCCCCTGCCCATTGCTGCTGGGTCCTAGCAGTGCCCCAGCCAGCACCAGTTCGCGGCCCAGTGGTTGGGAACCACTATCGTAGCCAGCTAAATCTGGGGGAATTCATGTCCAAACTGCTGCACTACTTGTAAGGTGGAAAACACCAGCCATTACCCACCCAGCAGATATGTGAGCCAGGGCCACCTCGCTCATCTACGTCCCCCTCAAACTCTAGGAGGTAGGCAGCAGGTAGGGCCTTCTTGAAGGAGCTGTCACCTCTTTTCCTGGCTCCTTCTTGCTTCACCAGTATCTCCAGAGCTTGAGTCTAAAATTCTCTTGGCCTTATGATCAAGTAGCTGCCTTGTTGCACCGACTTCACCATAAAGCATGTTGTCTTCTCAGCCATTATTAGAGCCCAGACTCCTGAAGGCCTTTCTAGGGAATATGGGACAAGAGTGCCTCTCTAGAGAGTTCTTCCTGGGGGCTGCCCAAGGGTAGGTAACCCTCCTCTATCTCTCTGAATACCTCTTTCCTCTCTCCCTCAGAGTATCAGCTCTTCGCCTTCGTCAGCCACATGGGCACTTCAACTATGTGTGGTCATTATGTCTGCCACATCAAGAAAGATGGCAGGTAAGAGGGGCTTGAGGGGACAAGGAGGAGCCTAAAGGTTGCCACTTCTAAGAATAAACCAGCATCCTTCCTTCAGCGGTGAAGTGTCATCCTCTGTCTGAACCCTTTGTCAGTGGGGGAGGGAAGAGAGAGGAACAGGCCACTTTGGAGGAGAAAGGTAGACACAATTTTGCACGTCAGCTCATCTCTCTCTATTTCAGGTGGGTGATTTACAATGACCAGAAAGTCTGCGCCTCTGAGAAGCCCCCCAAGGACCTCGGTTACATCTACTTCTATCAGCGGATTCCCAGCTAGAACCCCCTCTTACTGTGTGCAGAAGGGGGAGCAGGCTATTGGCATGAGGAGGGGGAAGCAGTGATGATAAACACAGAGAAGCAGGGCACATCTTTCCCCCTCTACTGGCTGTGTCTTCACCTATGCCACTGCTGGGGCTCTCATGGACATGAGTGAATAGGGGTGGGCAGGTGGATTTTGTTTCAGTATAAAATATTGTTACCCCCTACTCCAAGACACACACAGCCTCTAGTGCTTTGCTGCTTGGTGTAATGGATGCCATCCCTTTCAGGCAGAAGGGGAGGAGGGGAGCGTGTGTGTGTGTGTGAGACTTTGTGTATTGGATGAGTGGCTTCTCTCCCCTGCTCCCTCCCAAAAGAGGGTGCAGTGCAGGAAGTAATGTGGGCCATCAGTAGCACCACTTCCTCCTTGTGTGCCCCTTCAATGCCAAAATACACGAAGGATAAAATAAAAATCTAAATGCCCCCTTGCTTTTGTCTGTCCTATATGTTACTGAGAGGCCTGTGAGCTGGGGTATCTAAACTTGTTACCTTGTCTAATGTAGTGCTCAATGTAATCCTGCCAGTTGTCCTCTACTTTGGCATATGCACCCTTGTGCTTTGAAGTGTGGAAGGGAGATGTCACTGTAAAGCTAGATGATCTATGTTTACCGGTATGGTGGACAGGAATGTGTGATGGCGGAGATGCATCTATTAAAGCAGAGGGGAAAGAAGGCTGTGCTACCAAAAGCTAATTTAATATCCTATCAAGTGGGAATGGGCCCCCGGATTGCCCAGTAAGTTGGCAGCTCTTAGAGCTTGTTCATGCCCAAATACCCATGGTTCCAACAACCAGCCTCCACGGCCCTGGCTATAATGATCCCCTCACTTACACTTTCCACTCTTGCTTATTATACCTGGTGTAACAATGCAGCCCCTTGTGAAATCACAGTGCACAATGTGTCTGCCTTTCTGGTGAGCACATCTCTAGTTTGGTTTTCTGTAGTGGTACAATAGTGGAAAGGGTCCATGTCAAGGTTTGTTCTCATACCCTGTGTGCTAGACTGAAAAATTCCCTTTCCATTCTGTGACCAGTTACTGGGGAAGGTACGTGATTGTTTTGTTCCTCCTTTTACAGGACAAAAGCCTATCCTTTATTATGTGTGACACACAAGCACACGACTATGTAGAATAAAGTCCGGTTACTTTTTGGGAGTGAAGTGTAGGTGTGTGGAGCTGGAAAATGGGTCTTGACTCCTGTGTTCTGGTTACACCCCATTATGGGTATGTGCTGGATGTTTTCTTGTCCTTGTGGGGTCACATGAGGCTGTTCTCACTTTCCTGGCACTCTGCCTCTTGTGTATGCCCCACTGAACCAGGACACAGACTCTTTATTTCCTGCAGATTGGGACCTGTCCTCTGTGGTGTAGGCAAACAGCTAGGTTCTGAGTTGCGGATTAGTTATACTTTCTGGATTCTAATCATGGCATCATTGGAGGGGGGACAGATTCCCAGGAGAAAGTGCCAGGGCAGCTGATAATAAATTACAATCTTATTATTTTCTAAGATGCCCACCTTTCTCTTCCATCCATAGGAAAATGAGTAGAGCCCTGTGCGGCTACATAATTTTGGATCCACAGCTGATTCTGCACAAATGAGATGCGGATATCTGCCTGGATTTACAGGATTCTAGATACAAAATTTGTATCTATATCTGCACCTGTAGCTGTAAAAATGAGCCATGGCTATCTGCATTTACAGCTGCAGGTACAGATAGCTATGGATTTGCAGGGCTTTAAAAATGAGCTCTATTGGAAGTGGAAGGGAGGTGATGGTAGTCCAGGGCCTGTAGAACAAAGCAGCTCAAAGATTTATAGTTCTGAAATAATTAAGCCTTTCAGACAGGTGTGACGAGCTATACAGTGACTGTGTTACTGTCTTATTTCACAGAGATAGAAACAGACCCAGAGCTGGTCAAGGCCATAGAGCTGAGTGTAGAATCCAAGCCTGGATGCTGGGTTCCCTGCTGTAACCTCATAGGTTCCTCCTAGCGCCCCAATATTCATGGCTGCTTTAATGATGACAGTTAAGCAGACAAGCCCACTTCCTCTCTGATTCAGGGAGACTGCGTTCTAGGGAGGTGGGTGAAGAAGACAGTTCTTTTCCCAGAACTGGTGGTCCTTTCCTACTCTAGCCCCTTCACCATGGCTACCTGAGGCACTGCAGGCATTAGGTGCCTCTAGGGCAAGTTGCATTTGGCAGCTGGAGCCTTGCTGACAGCAGATCGTGGAGAGCTCAGGAATTTGTTTACCCTCTCAGCTGGAGTCATGAATGATGGAGACAATTGTGGCCTCACGCTGCCCTTTTCCCCTACCCGGGCACGAGTAAAGGTAGCGCCCCTGAGCTCCCACTGCCAACGGAACGGCGCCGCGGAAGGGGCGGAGCTAGAGGAATGTTAGCACTTCATGAGATGGAGCAAATGCAGCGTGGGGACGTTCTAGGGGCGGAGCGTGTGGAACGTTCAGACAAATGTGGGCGTGTCCCTGGATCACTTCTCTATAAAGAAGCTTGAGCGGGAGCTGCTAGGCCGGCTTCTCACACGGACCTACTGACCTAGTCTCCTTCGGCTCTGCGCCAGGCAGCAGTACCCGACCCATCATGGCACCAAGGAAATTCTTCGTGGGGGGGAATTGGAAGATGAACGGGGATAAGAAGAGCCTAGGCGAGCTGATCCACACCCTAAACAGCGGCAAGATCCCGGCGGACACTGGTGAGGGGAAGGGGCAAGGTTGTAGACTGGGAGTGCAGAGGTGGGAGGGAAGCTTCTATCTAGTGTCTCTAGGGATGGTCCCAGAGTCGTTGCTTGTTCACGTTGCAATCGGCTGCCTCGCTGGTCTCTGTGGGAGCCTGGCTCGGTCCTGAGCATCGCCCCGCTTGACTGCGGTAGGCCCAAGACCCCAGCCCCATCTACATCCCTCTCCTCCCTTCTCCCGGGCTGCCCCGCTGAGGCTAATGGGAACGGTGTGGACAGAGATCTGGGGCAAGTGGCTGCTGAGCTAACCCGCTAGCCGAGGCAGGGGGAGGGGGCAGCTAGGGTGCGGCAGCCCCGCAGTGGGTGGCTCTGGGCGGCGGCGGCTCAGGTGGAGCTGGCTGGGGGCAGGGCTGCTGGAGCTCCCCTCGGGTCTCCTGTGCCCGCGCTCCCGCTCGTCCCCTCCCCTCGCGCTGTGCCTGCCCGCACGTACCCAGTGACTCACTTCCTGCTGCTGCCGCCTGCGCTTGCGAACGGGGAAAGCGCCATGTGGACTAGGCGGCTGCTGCAGTCTGGACTCCCAGCCGCGCGGCAGGGGGCCGGCGGGACTTGATCATTGTCTAGGGCACAAGGGGCGGGCAGGAGGGAGACCGATCCGGGACGGGAGAGTCAGCCTCTCTCCCCCCTGCCAGAGCCATAGCGTTCAGGCCCGCCAGATCTACTCTGCCCTCGGGGATCTGGCCCCCAAGCACCGAGAGCCCAACCTGCATGGGGCCCAAGCGCATTTCATGGCAGGGAAGTGATACAGCGAGGTATACACAGGTAATCCGAGCACATGGCCCGCTCCACCCACTGCCTCCAGCCAGTCTCCCAAGTCCCATTCGTGCTGCTCCCCTCCATCAGCCATCCTGCTGCTGCTGCTGGCTCCGCCCCGAAGTATGAAAGGTCAAGTTTCTGTGCATTATGGGTACTGCCCTTTTGGGAGGACCTGAGAGCCTTCCTCCTGGCTTTCCAGCTGAAACCTGAAGAGGGGGGTAACCTGGAGTGTCCCACTCCCGCTGAGCCAGCCAGCAGAGGACGTCCTTCCCTGGGGTGCTAGGCAGCAGTGTTCCAAAGAACAGGCCTCCAGCCTGTTGCCAGGCATCTGTGCCCATAGACACTAGTAGATGGACCCTGAATTCTTCTGGTGGCTTAGTCTCGCCGCATTCCCTCCTTGGATTTGTCTAAACCAGTGGTTTTCCTGGGAGGGGTTGTGGCCCAGTACTGGGTCACTTTGCTGTCAGGTGACTGTGCTGTGCCCCAGAGTCCTAGGTGGGGGGTACTCTGGGGATCCAAGCCCTGCCCTTAGCACCAGCTCCCCACTCCCTTTGAGGGTTCCTGGCCAATGGGAGCTGGGAGGGTGGGGCAGGGCCTGCTGGCAAGAACAGCGCCCAGAGCGGCTTGCACAACTGCCTCGGAGCTGAACCTGCTGCTGGCCACTTCTGAGGCACAGCATGGTCTGTGGTGCAAGGACAAGCAGGAATCCTGACTTAGCACCCCACTGCACTGCTGACCAGGAGCCACTGCAAGTAAGCCTGCACCTCAGTCCCCTGCCTGAGGCCCCCTCCCTCATTCCTGGCCCCACCCCATAGCCCGCATTCTAGTCAAAAGATATAATCCTGTAAATGGCACTGATTAAACGGGTAGGGTTAAAAACTGGTGACAACTTTTGCAAAACTCCCTTTGAGTTAAACCAGGCTCAACTTCTCGTTATATCACGACTTCAGTTGTAATGAGGTGCGTGCTGGTTTAATTAAGTCAGTTTAAAATCACAGTGTAATTTAGGTTGGTGTAGCTTTTACTTGTGCAGCCCAGGGCCTTGTTATTTCTCCTTGCCCCAGGGTTTGTACTTGCAGATAGATTTCCAGTTCCCCACCTCCCTTTGTGGCTGCTTCAGTTGGCATCTACATCATCCAGCAACAGCTAGCTAGTCTTCTCTCTCTCCACTATCATCTCCTCGCTGAAATATCCTCCGCCTCTGGATCTTGTGCTACCCATCTCTTTGGGCTAGGAGGGTCCTGTAATGAGGAAGGAGAAACTGCTATTTTGGGGGAAGTGCCCTGAAGAAATGTCAAAGGTCTCTGAGCAGATTGAGACCTAAATATAACCAGTGGTGTCTGGGTTAAAAATATCAGCTACTGTACTTGGTTTGGAAACCAGATCTCTGTTGGCTGCTAAAGGTCAAGGGGTTGGCATTGGAGAGGAGGGATGCTGGTGGAAGCCTCTCTTAGCCCCAGGTCCTGGGATAATAATTATGTGCGGGAGATGGTACCAGTAGCTAGTACAGTGACCCCTGCTGGGGAAGGCAAGACTAGGCAGCTGCAGGCTTTCCTCCTCAGCTATCTCAGTAATACAACATAAAAGTAATAGCTTCAGTAATACAACATAACTACGCAACTGTTCTTGCTACCAGCTAAATGAATAAACTACACAAACCTCCCATCTTAAAATTGCTCTGCACCCTTCAAAATGGAGGCAGCTCGCCTGATGGCAAAGCCTCCCTGTCTCCCCTGCTCTCAGTGTGCAAATAAGATGGCCCCAGAGACTGTACATCAAGGCTTTCAAGATGTGGTTACTGCAGGCAGGTCCCTAGGGCTTACCCTGCCTGGGATGGTGCTTGGAAGCCTGTGCATTTAGTGGACATGACCAGACCTGCTCAAAGGAAGCAGCAGCCTTGGTTTACACCAGGGCTGTGTCTACATTGGCATCCCTTTCCGGAAAAGGGATGCTAATGAGACACTTTGGAATTGCAAATCCGCGGGGGATTTAAATATCCCCCGCGGCACTTGCATTTACATGGCTGCCGCTTTTTTCCGGCTCAGGGTTTTTGCCGGAGAAAAGCACCAGTGTAGACGTGATTCTCCGGAAAATAAGCCATTTAAATGCAAGTGCCGCGGGGGATATTTAAATCCCCCGCGGATTTGCAATTCCAAAGTGTCTCATTAGCATCCCTTTTCCGGAAAGGGATGCCAATGTAGACACAGCCCTAGTGTGTATGTGCCTTTTCCTCACTTGGCTAGGGATGTTACATTTAGATTAATTAACTAATCAAGTAGTCGATGGGATTTCCATTGACTATTTGTTTAGTCAATCAGGGCGCCTCCACCTTTGAACTGCCGGGCTACAGTTCAAAAGCAGAAGCTGCGCAGGGTGAGTGGGGCATTGGCCCTGCGTTCCTTGCGGCGCTTGAGCCTTTGAAATATTGCGCAGGGTGGTGGATTTGCCACAGGGCTGGGAGAAGCCTTTGCACTGCTTTAGGAAACATCTAAACTCAAGAGCTGTAGCAGCCTAGCAACGGTGCTGTCTCTGTGCCACTGAAGCTCCCAGAGAGCAGACAAGCCCTGAGTTGATGCCTAAGGAACTCCCAGGCTGGCTTCCTCAGTAACTTGTCCTATCCCCGTGTTGGGTACCTCCCATAATCATAAGGATGATGAATCTGCCTCCCCAGGTTCCCTCTAATCTGTTCCCTAGGGACCAATACCTGGGGACCCAACATCTCAGTGATGGTAGTGCCACTCCAGGTCCCTTTCACTCGTGCTTCCAGACCCCATACACTGCCGGGGAGTAGCTCCTGAGCAGCTTTTTCTTATCCCTCCCTAAATGGGCTCTATCAGGGTTCCCCTCCCTACTGAAACTCTTCCTTAGTCAGATGCTTCTTGCATTTCTCATATAGAACCATAGAAGATTCAGCTTGGAAAAGACCTCAGGAGCTGGTGCAGGAGGCATCGAGTCCAGCCCCCTTCCCAAAGCAGGACCAATCCCAACTAAATGATCCCAGTCAGGACTTAACCTCTAGGGATGGAAATTCCACCACCTCCCTAGGGAACCCATTTCAGTGCTTCACCTCCCTCCTAGGGAAACTTGTAAAAACGTTAAACTGAGCTTCCTCTCATGATGCTTGCCATGCGTCCCTTTAAAAGAAGAAGAGAAGATCATAATAGAGGAGAAACATCCGTACTGTGTTGCTGGGGCCCCAAGTTTCAGTGAGGGTGATGTGTGTGGTAGGGTTTGTGTGTGGAGGTTTTTTGTTTTGAAGGGTTGCTACAGCTTGGCAGAGTAGGGATAAGCACCGGGGGTAGGGGCGGGTTGAGGGATAAGAAAAGGATCAGGGGATGGATCTCGGGGGGAAGAGGATTCAGCTGTTGGGAGAAGATCAAGTGTGATATCTGCTCCATCCCCATATGGTTAACACCCTCTCTTGCCCTCCAGATGTTGTTTGCGGCGCCCCCACCATTTACCTTGATTTCGCCCGTCAGAAGCTCGATGCAAAGATTGGGGTTGCAGCACAAAACTGTTACAAGGTGTCAAAGGGAGCTTTCACGGGAGAGATCAGGTGAGCCTGCTATGGGGTGATAGAGCTGAATTAACTTAGAGACTGAGCCCCATGGGGGCTCTTCCCAGGACAGAGGCAAGGCCCTCATCTCTCCCTTTTCTCCCCTTGCAGCCCTGCAATGATAAAGGACATCGGTGCCACCTGGGTGATCCTGGGCCACTCGGAGCGAAGACATGTTTTTGGGGAGTCTGATGAGGTGGGCTACTTTGGGATGTAAGGAGGAAACAGTTTTAACATCCTCGGAGGGGGGAGCTGAGCTCCAGAGTGTGAAGTTTGGCTAACTGTTCCCTCCCCTCTTCCAGCTGATTGGGCAGAAGGTGGCCCATGCCCTGGCTGAGGGTCTCAGTGTCATTGCCTGCATTGGGGAGAAGCTGGATGAGAGAGAAGCTGGCATCACAGAGAAGGTGGTTTTTGAACAGACCAAAGTGATTGCTGGTAAGTGTGGAGGGCATTTTCCCTTTAGCCCACAGCTGGGCGGAGATCCCTGCTCTGTTGCTTTTTCCTCAGGTGAGCCCCTGGGAAATGTAGTATTACTTCTTGATCACTCATTCCAGGTGTGCCGCAGAGCTGGGTTTGTGCATGCTTGTTTGGGGTATCAGTCTGAGTTCCCAGCTGCTCCTCCAGTAACTGTTCTATTGTCAGACAGCTGCTCTGCTGGCCAGTCCCAGCGGCGGAGCTGTCCCTCACCTCCCGAATAACACTTGCTTCCTTCTCTCGCCCCAGATAATGTGAAGGATTGGAGCAAGGTGGTGCTTGCCTATGAGCCAGTTTGGGCTATTGGAACTGGCAAAACGGCAACTCCCCAGCAGGTATGAACAGGGTTAAGGAGCCAAGCGTCCGTCTTTCTCACCCCTCTTCAGTGGGTCTCGAACCTCAGTGAGGTTGGGGTCCCAGTAATGCAGCTCTGGTTTCATTGCAGGCTCAGGAGGTTCATGAGAAGTTGAGGGGGTGGCTAAAAAATCATGTGTCCGAAGCTGTCGCTCAATCCACTCGCATCATCTATGGAGGTAGCTAGCCTTGGGCACCCTGCCCTTTCTAGTGCCTAACACTAGGCACCCCCCCTGCCCTCTGCTCGGTTCTGCTGTTGGTTGTACAGCTGCTCTCTGCCAGGCAGATGAGCCACTGCTGTCTCAGGCAGTGTCCCCCCCCCCCCCCCCC